TGGGCTCGTCCGAACTCGGAATTGAGTGCCGTTTTTTTCTATGCGTCGCTAACGAAATTAAGTTCCGCTTTTTCCTGTGTGTAGCTAACGAGCTCCTCTATCCAATGATGCTTGAAAACCACACTATTGCTCAGAGTACAAATTATGTGGAATTTCCAACCTTTAAAGGGTCGTTAACTTGCGCGGCTTCGCATTTTGATTCCGTCCGGATTCATCCGAACTCGAAACCAAATTCCGTTTTTTCCTATGTGTAGCCAATGAGTCCATCTACATAACCATGATTGCCCTATCCATGACATTACCTCACGATGCCTCCGACCTGCACACGAAAAACAAGAAGAAAAATGGGAAAAACACACGAAAAACATAAAGAAAACCAAAATGGAACAAAACACATAAAAAAACACAAAACGAACTAAAAACTCACAAAATGACCTAAAACGAGGAAAAATAAAGGGAAAAGAAGAACAAAAATATAACGAAAAATACAACAAAAATATTACAAACAAGAATGGCTTTTAGTCATTAATGTCGTGTCTAGAACTCCCTCATCTCTCTGCTCTCACCTATTTTTTCGGAGCAATGGTTGAATAGTCACCAAGCGTCTATTTTGCATCTCAATATCACATATCTCATTAAAAAGCAAATCAAAACAACTACTCCAACATACAGTTCTTGCAGACAACCTAAAACAGAAGGAATTCGAGAATATAAACCTATAGAATTCAAAAGCATAAAGATAAAGAAGGCGCCTCAAAGGTTTGTGAATGGGATGGCTCGGCCAGCGTCTATCTGCCAGCTACCTGAATTGATTGAACATTACAAGAAAAACATGGCAGTATAGAGTCATTGTAACACCCCACTTTGATTTTAAAGAAATTCTGGACTTTCTAAAAATCAGAACAAATTTTTCGAATTCATTTTCGAAATCAAGGGCATTAACCAACACATTTTACTTAGTCCAAGTCTTATCTGGACCCACGGGGATTCATAAACCCGATTTTCATAAGGTTTTCATTAACCTGATTCACACCTCAACATAATATCCAATATGAACAATTGTAACCTCATATATCAAACACCATGATTATTCAAGTTTCAAAAAGGGTTTTCCAAGATATTCCCAAACATCAAAACATAACATAGTTCGAAAACAGTTCTCACATGTCCAAAACATAGAAAGGTTCATAACAACCATATTATTAAAGCGGAAGCAAAACGAAACAAATAATAGACCACCACTCGTCCTTCGTCCCGTCACCCGGCCGCTGCTTAACCTGCATCCGTGAAGAGCAAGTGAGAATGAGCACAAATGATAAAGTAGTGCTCACTACTATGCACATAATAACATGTAAGGATGGTATGGTCGCAGCATGAATATAAATCAATCATCATCATGTCTCATCTCCTAACAATCGTAACAATAACTCACTCATGTGCACATCTATCATTAGCCGCGGAAAGGGGATGCATAAACCCTAGCGACGGGAGTACGTGCCACTATAACGGACACGGCCTTTCATTAGGTCTTAAGGAGACTTGCCTCACAAGGGCAACCGTACCGTAACTCTACGGGGACAACCATACCGACGGCCGTAACAACTCACATCGGTAGGCCACATGGTTCACATTCATACATTGGTCATACCAACTAAACATTAAACAACACGTATGGCATAGACAATTTTAGATTAGAACCCACCTGGAAGTTTCGGTAGAAAATAGCACACAATCACAAGTACGTAGGATGAGGGCTCGACTCCTCAAACACCTACATTTAAGCGAGATAATATATTATT